GAATTAGGATTTATTTAAAATCGTCTGTCCACCTGCATTTTTTGTACTTTGGCCATGCCCTTAAATATGGAGGCTTTCTGAGCTTCACCACTTCGGACTTTCTTCAATTTTCTACTTATTGTTGTATTAAGTTTAGCAAATATATGAATACTCTACAAGGGGAAATAAATGAAAAAGCTAACAAACTCAATTATTCGAAGAATTTAAAGTGAGCAGCATTTTGGTTTAATTATGTAAACATTTATTGTACGAGTCGATGGGGGGTTTGGTTGTTTGCTTAGCGTAAATTTGGAGCTCGCTCAAATGTATCCATTATTTATTATTTGCCTATAGATTTTTATTTTTAATGTTATCTATTTATTCATCACGTTGCTAAAGTTGGAATATACATTGCTTGCGGGAAAAAATGGATAGAGATATTCTTATCATTCTTCTATACTTGTGTCTACTTATTCCTTATTTTGCTATATGCTTATGTACTTTGTATATGGTTTCTAATTATTTTTTTTCATTTTAACCTATAAATGATGAACTTTTGGATGCCAAGTTGACATTTTTTCAATTTATTCTACCTCATTCTGGTATTTTTTATTATGTATTTCAAGTCTTACCAATATGTCTTAATTTCTCTCTACGTCAGTACGACTACCATTTTATGAAGAAGGTGCCACCGGGGGCGGAGACCTCAAACATCCTGGTGGGTGAGACAGACTTCTTGTCCACACCACTGATCGTGTTTTTGCGCCTCAAGGAGGCCATATTGCTCGATGGAATGACCGAAGTGCCTGTACCCACACGTTTCATCTTCATCCTCCTCGGAACGCCTGGGAACGCAGCCAAGTATAAGGAAATTGGGCGATCAATGGCGACGCTCATGTCGGATGAAGTGAGTATTTTTTGTTGTTTTTTTATCTGCAAAGAAGGACAAGATCTCTTTCGATACTTGGATCCATAAATAAATGCAAGTGAATGAGGGAATATGGCAATATTGATTATAATAGTATCGATGACCTCTTATCTGCCTGGTATATATTTGAGCCAATCACTGAACAGTGTAGCTATCTCCCA